CCTTCATAACTAGGTTTTTCAAGAAGGTTGACAAAGAGGATTGCTCGGGAGCTTATTGTATATGCGGCAACAGCGAGGATAAATATAATGGTGAAACAGGAAGAAAAATCAGCCTATTAATCAAGAAACATCAATGATTCTGCATAAATATGGATAAAGAAAGATCATAAGTACAACTTTTCTTCGAACACAAGGAACGTCATACCATTAACTAACTTTGTGAACCTTATGAATTACTCTGCTCAAATGTTTATTCATACTATTCGGATGGCGATCCAATGCCCCAATAACTTGAATATAATAATAAATAAATCGAAACTTATAAGCAAATTTCTCTTTGTATTATTCGCTCAACAAGTAATTTAATGAAGTTACAGGAATACCCCCCCTTAAATCTGCCAATTTAGGGGTTGCTTTTATTTATTACAAATAAGTAATGATGCTTTGGCATTGAGCCAATCTTATTATCGACAGCAATCCTGTGACACTTTCCCAGTGCATTTTTGACTTAAATAAGTCCTATGAACTAAGTATAAAGGGTTAGCTTGTCTGGTTTCGATTCTCGCCAAAACGGCAAACCACTTAGCCTGTGAATGACGAGTTTTAGCTCAGTACTACCAATGATGATCCTCACTTACGATGGTGATGAGTGGTATGGAAATAGACCTAATCGAGGTTCCGATGCTCAAACAACACGCGGAAAAGTGGCTAAGGACGTACAGGGTACGCTCATAAAAGTATCTCCGAAGACTAAATGGTGAAATCAGATCAAATTTAATTTATGTCCTAATCCGCTAAGATAGTGTTGGAATTTCAGCTAAAGTAGTAAGCTATTACTATTAATTAGTCTAACAAGCTAAGACGTATCAACAGGCAAGTGGTATCAGGTACAAGATGAACCTGTGTTAAATTCCACATGATCAGAATGATGCATCATCATTTGCACATGTTTTTGCTGTTGTAGCATCAATGCTCTCTTCTTCAAAATAGCGTCCAAGAGTTGATCTAAAGACATTTCTGCGGAGGTTGCAACGGTGGTATCCGGAGTGCCGCAAATGGCTTTTTCGAAGTCTGATTGTGCTGAGACGAAGTTCGAAAGTTTTTGCTCCAGTGAATTCTGCGCAACCACTACTTGAGTAAGTTCGCTGCGTACTTTGTCAAGTTTAGCTAGAATGCAAAGGAAGAGAAAATGATAAGTAAGTTATGATGGAAATATAGAATTATGAAGGGTTATCCTAATCGAGCATATGTGAATCTAACATCCTTCTCCACGCA